AAGTCACCATTTATTCAACATCACCTGGGTGGGCAGCACAGCATCTTGCCTAGATGACCGCACTTCATTCTTTCAACAGCAGGGGAAAGTAAACGCTCCAAAGCCCATGCCTGTAATCTCTTAATGGGAGGGAGTTTTGTCCTCCGGGGGACGTTGGACTACGTCTGTAATGAAAACACAGGTGCCTAGGTGGCATGGTGGGTGTGGGAGTTGGGCTGCAAACCTCAAAGCAGCAGTTTGAAACCACCAGTCCTGCCCCCAGAGAAACAGGAGGCTGTCTGCGCCAGTGCAGTAAAGGCTTGCAGCCTCAGGAACCTGCAGGGGCAGTTCTACTCTGTCCTCCGAGGTGAGTCCACTCCCTGACAATGAGTGCTAAGGAAAATGGGTTGTTCTCAACTACAAACCGAAAGGTCGGGGGTTTGAATCCACTCAGTAAGACTGCGGAAGGAACATCTGGAGACACAACGGCAGCTTCCGAATCCACTCCAAGGCCATGGGTTTGGAGTGTGTGCGTGTGTGGTTTTCACAACTGGGTGAGCAGTGGTGCGCTTGGCTCACGCTGCTGAACCTCCCATCATGCAAAGCTGCTCAAACTGTAGGTCACAACCCCATTCAGTTATATAACTGGGAAAAAAATTGGCATTCGTAAACGGTTTCTGATTGCACAGAGACCAGAGCTTAATCCAAAGTCAGAGGAGAAAAGACTCGCAGTGTTCCTGGCAGCGCCTGCCCGTGCAGCGGAAAAGGGTTGGAGAGTGGAGAGCGCAGGGAGCGCCCCTCAGAAGCCCAGGTGGTTTCCTGTCGGGAGAAAGAGGAGCTTTGCTACTCCTGGGGAGAGTCCCAGTTTGGTAAACTCCCAGGGACCGTCCTGCCCTGCCTAGGGGGCCGCTGGGAATCGGGATGGGCTCCTGGCCAGTGAGTTTGGCTCGTTGGATTGGCCAGGGCAGCAGTGACGGGATCCCACCCCGAATGCCCACGGTGGCATGGGGCTGCGGCGCAGGCCTGGGTTAGGCTGGGCTCCCAGTTTGGATGGCTTGTAGGATGGTCCTTTCTTTTCCAGGTTCGGCCCCCGGCGGATCCGGGAGGAATCGGTAATGCTGCGCGCTGCCAATCCCAGCACGGGGGCCCTCCCCTTCCAGTCCCTCATGGTCTCGGACCTGGGCGATGTGAATGTCAATCTGTACAACCTCCAGGAGAGCTGCCGGCTCATTCGAGAGGCCTACCAGAAAATCGCAGCCGCTGGCTGTGTCCCCCTGACCTTGGGTAATGGCGGTCTTGATGGCCGGTTCTGTTCTCTGGGGCGTACTTATCACGGGCTGGAGCCCGGCTCCAGGGCCAGCTCCAGTGGGCAGGGAGACCCAAGGGGAGGGACATTTAATGCACTGACTTGAACCCCCGAGGAGAGGATGTTTGGAGAGCATGACTCACGCCAGCCGGAAGGTGGGCACTTGCCCCCGGTGCAAAATTCAAAAAGTGCTAAATTTTTCAATTCTCAAGATCAAGATCCATCAAGTATTGCTGATTTTCTCCCGGTGCCAATTACTTTAGTACTTTGTTCAATCTGAGTTTTAAAAATAGGACATTTAAAATTTTGTCTCGATTGAGATTGTTCATGCCCCTTAAATCTTGCACCCACTCACATCAGCTACTTTATCCCCCACGTCCCAGCGCGGACACCTGAGCCAAGGCGTGGCGAAGGCTCAGTAGAAGTGTGTTCCTATGAGGTTATCTGAGGGGAGTGCTAACTGCAAAGGGGGTTTTCCACCCTCCCTAACCCCTCACACAC